GAAACATAATCAGAGTATTTTCTGAACATTTTAGGTATCACTGCCTTTCATGTCATAAATATGTGCAACAAATCATTAATTTAAGCAAAACTGCACAGAATTCCACTCAAGCCTTAAGACGGTGCTATTGTTAATTCAAATCTTCTATGTATAAAAGTATCAAGAACTCTGCAGTAGTCAATTCAACATTCAAAAGCAGATCAACAGTTTTATGTAAACTTGTTTTTAAAAAACAAACCACCACATAATTTGGCTTTAAAGTGACCAAGTATTTTTCTTAATAAAATTTACTAAACATGCAAAGAACTAAAATCAATCTACAGTTCCAAAGAGATGCTGAGACTGGATTAGCTCTGATTCCAAAGTATTCAATCAAAATATATAACTATATAAAGGACCTCCAAAAGATGCAATTGTACGTTGTTACAGTGGTATCGTTTATTCCAGTAATAATAATCCTTCCTATAAGGAGGCTGCATGTTAACTAAAATACACTATTCTGTTGTAGCTCCCCCTCAGAGAACAACAGCATTCTCCCCCTCTCCCCAAAGTTTATTAAAAAACAGGCTAGGTTTTCTATTGAAAGAGAGTTGTACTCACTATCCAGATGGCCATTTCCTAGCATTAATCCAATCTTGTCAACTTATCTACAATTGCTAGGTTTAGGCTAGCAACAAATCTTGCCGTAATTACCAGATGTTAAAAATAGATGGAGTAACTAACAAGCCATCTTATGCCTCTTAAAAATTACTGAAACCTACAAATCAAAGTATTTGTGGAAGCTTGAATGTCAGTGACATCATCAACTTAGAAACTGAGGCTTCAATAAAAGTTACACACAGCAGAAAATGCCTTCAGATAAATGCAAACAACATCCAACAGCAGCAAGATTTCCTAATATCAAGCCCCAATTCCCTACAAACTGACAAGTTTCAGTGACAAACACTGTGCATAATTTTGGCCCTGTCTGTACTCCAAAAATCAGCTTCACAAGCTGTTGTAACTCCAACAGACAAGAAATAAAATCTTAAAATACAGTGTATGGAGTTATGCAATCCAAAAATAAAGTATGTAAAAGTAATTTCATATTCTTGCTATGAAACATCAACTATGAACGCTTATAAAGAAGTCAAACTGCATTTTATGCATTACATCTATATTGATATAACTCTGTGCCAGTGGAGAATGCAAAATCTTTATGATATTCAGTATATGCAAAGTCCAATTACAATTTGAAGAAAATTCCAGTTTAAAAAAGTTGTACGTAATTTCATATATGACAGGCCAATACCTAAAGACAAATCTCAAACAAACCTGTATAAAATTTGCTTAAAATCACCCTATCCCTGCAAAAGGCACTAAGTGGTTTAAGTGTGCAAATGACTTCTTAGAAGAAATAGTGTGCAAACAGCGCCTGCTCCATTAGCTCTGAGTTCTTTAGTAATTCCTACAGAGTATTGCTATCAATGTTACCTATAGTAAGAACTTCTAAAGAGAACACACTAGAACACAGTCAGTCCACAGAATCACAGATATCTTTCACTCTCTGATTGAAGTCTTCAGGTTGATCAGCATACACGTAATGACCTGCACCAAGGATAGCCTGGAGGATGAAGCAGAGGAAGAGGTTAAAAGGAGAAGAAACTAAAATATATATAAAATCACATAGATAACTGGAATATGTGAAGAATATGCCCACAATAAACTGGGTTTTACGCATCAATTTGATATGCTGTTATTTGAAAGAAAAAGCTTTAAAACTGAAACTATCTGTTGCATCTAGTCTGTGTTAATGAAGTTAGCCCAATTGCTGCCAGGAGGTAGTATCATGTAACCTAAAAAGCAATGGTCTAAAGGAAAAATTAAACTTTATTTCACTCATCAAAAGACTTTGTTAGGAAGGAAAAGTGAGTAAAACCGCTCTTTTTTTTATTTCACAGCTTACTGAAAGTAAGATTTAAGTACACTGAAGAAACTGCAAAATAAGCTTAGGAGAACGCTTTGCATATCAAGCTTTCAGCTGGTCTTCATCCCTTTCATGCTCCACTCAAAGTCTGCAAAGTGGCTCTTTACTTCTCTAAGTGTTTGCATTAGACCGAACTGTTGATCACTTGCATTCCCTTATTAAAAGGGTGATATGGAAAAGACTAAAAAAAGGTACTAGGATAAATGAATAAGAACTTAGAGACTTAAATTGCTGAGGATTTTCTAGACTTGTGGAAGCAGATTTCAATCCTCTGAATCAACTACTATTTTAAGCAGGGAAAAGTCAGATCCAAATGATGTAGTATACAGGAGGGGGGAAAAAAATCACATTTGTGAACCTTTTTTGACACAGATTATTTCACTGAAACCATGTAATAAAATTAAGGGCTTAAGTAACCACACATATGGTGGTTAAAGTATTTCTGTAATTTATCACTCTCTGCCAAAACTGTTATGCAAATTGAAAGCAAGTCACCAACATACTGTATGGCAAAGGTGCTTAAAATATTTTCTTCTAATGTTACAATCAAGCCAAGATTTATTTGTATTCTAATTTACTTTTCCCCTTCCTCGCCATTAAGACAATCCCCCTTAACTCTCTAAAATGAAACACATTGCCTTAAGTAGAAGTATGCTAGCGTGATAAAAAAAAAAACTATTTATTTCTAATGTATTTAAAAATAACCATACACAATAAAACCCTCAAAACTGCTGTGCACTTTACCGAGGTCAACAAAGCCAATGCTAAAAGGAAAATCTACATGTCAGCCTTATGAGAGCCCTTTCAATCCTTCGTTTCTGTGAATATCCTTCAATATCCCTGTGATTTTCTCCACTTCAACTACTTTTCAGAATCTGTGTTTGGCTTGACAAAATTTTAACCTGAATTACACTAAAACATTATCTACTGTACCTTCTAAAAAGCACCAACCAGACTGGAAAAACCTGCTTGCCTGACATATGCTTGTCCTAATAACCTAAGTACACTTCTTAAAAGTTTTTTTTTTTTTTGTTAAAACTTACCCTGTGGTTAAGCAGTAAGGTGATACCCTCAGTTCTGGATATTACCTTTCCCAAATGCTATTTGCGCTCTTTAGCACATGGAAACAGTTCCACAGCAATATAATTTCTCTAATTTTGCTCGAGTGACCTTTCCAAGTGTACTGCAGGCATTACACACTGTAAATTTCCGTCCAGTTAGGAGTCAACATCAGTAAGAAGACAGCTGGCATATTCTAGCATCTTGTCACCTTGTAGGACTGTAACGTATGTACATATCCAATTATCATGTCTGGCTGATATGAGAACGCGTGAAAAATACTTCTGTATTTACTTGGTTTTAAAGAACCAAAGAAAAAATGCAGAGTGTGGGCACATTTGCAGCACATAACAAGTGCACGCATTTTAAAAGATAATGCCAAACCTCTAAACCAGACTGTATCTGCTATAAAGACAAAACTGTACATTTTTGTAATGATTCAAAGAAAGGTGCTTCCAAAAACATCAGCACCAGGCACAAACCACTCTCTTATCAGAAAACAAAAAAGCATTATACAAATAGGCCGGAACAATTTACAATACGAGGGCCTCATGACCTCTTCCTACACACATGCTGATATTAAGAAAGCTGTTGTTTAAAACAAACAAAAATGCCTGAACACTCACCAGTGACCACAAAAGTCCTAGCATTAGCATACTGCAGAGTTTAAAAAAAAAAAAAAAAAAAAAAGTAGAGAAAAACACCTTGCTTACAGACCTAATTTGTCTTCCTGTGGTAAAATAACTTACTTTCTTACTTGGGGAACTCGTACAGTTTGGCTCTGTTTTTCTCTCAGCTAACTTATTTTCTCTTTTTTTTTTCTATTACAGAAATCATAAATTTTCATCCAATGCTTTATCTCAAAGGGCCACTATTCCCAAAACTACTAAAAATGAATGAGATGGATATAATTAGAACAGATACACAGAGATAAACTAAAAAAAAAAAAGTCTTAAAAGTCTACTTACTATTGTCTTCACATATGAATTTGGTCTCAGAGACTGGATAGTGCTGCCAGAATTGCCATCTATACACGAACGTGCTCCATAGACCACAGTGATTGGAATGTCTTGATCCATGTGTGAAATCCGTTTCAGCATTGGCCTTTTGGCCCATCCATAAGGAATAGTCATATTCTTGAAAGCAGTTTCACCACTTAGCCGTTCAAAGAAGGAACAAAAGAAGAATTAAAAAAAAAAAAAAAACTTCAATGTCTCTGCCCTTTTCTCCCTTTTCCACACCTTGAGCTACCTTTAAACTGGCATATCCGTGCCTTTTGGTGACATACACAAAAAATACAATGATAAATGATGTTGGGATTTTTGACAATTCAAATCACAAGTTTTCAAGGTTTGTGTGCATGCTATTTTTAACATAACCAGTCCATGTTTTTAGAAGACAGACTGTTAACACTTAAAAGATGACTTATTTTTCAGTCATTTTTAAAGAATGTCTTTACAAATCAAACCACGATAGCATCCTCTGGAGTAAAAATTAATGCCCAAGCTCTCTGTCAAAATTAAAACACAAGCAGTTTGAAATAAACAAAACTGCTTCCACAGATAAAAGCTTCTACATATAATCTCTTTCTGAAATTCAGAAGCGCAATCTTCTTTCTTCTTCAATTTATAAAACACATGTTACTGTAAAAAAAAAAAAAAAAAAAAAAAGCATGCATACTGTTACCATGACCATTGGAGGGAGCAGCACACATTCAGTAAATGAGAGACAGATTTCAAAACACATTGGGAAACACATATTCACCTGGGTGTCTGCACATTGCAGTGATAGATATACTCAGTCACAGTGTTATCATCAAACATTGATGAATATTTTCTCTTGAAATCTGGTCTTAAACGCTGCACAAGGCTTAATCCTGTTAAACAGAAAACAGAATTATAGGAGGAGCTGGTATTGACAACTTTTTCAGGTTGCCTAATGCTTTTCATTACAATCCCCCAAACACACTCTCTTGCAGCTTGGGGTGTTTGGCAAGTTTTAAAGAATGTTTTGCTTCATCATTTGCGTGTCTTAGGAAAACACGATGGCCAAACATGATTGCACCAAACAGGAGCTAAGCATAAATATTCTAAATGATTTATGGTGCACTGAAACAGTGGCACAAACCCCACTGAGTATATTTGGGGAATGTTGTGAAAAGCCACCTCAGCAACAGAAGAAAGCTGCAAAAGGGATCATCAAATGGGCTAAGCTGATTTTTTTGTCACCGGTTTAGTTTTACACAATACCACCACTTTCCTCCCAGTTGCTCTAGCAGCAACTAGGTAAGACAAGGGCATTTCAGCTTTCTCAACCGAAAGGCATTGCTGAAAAAAATGAGTTATTTTTCCTTCTAGATATGCTTATACTCTTCTTCTACAGAACAGTCTTCTGAAGCTAGTTCATCTCACCCCCTTTTAGTTGAAAGAACAGAAATCTTCGTTGAATAACTGGTGTAGAAACCTTGATATGTGTAGAGGACGTAAGAAGTGGTATAAATGAAGAGATTTAACTGAGTAAAGTTGTTCTCCCCATGCTTTCCTCACAGGCAAAGCTAAGCTCCTGCTCTGAATCCCTTTCTGAAGGAAAGCATCTCTTGTAAACGACCAGGCAGATCTTAGGGACAAGTGTTTCAACAAAGGCTAATTTTAGTCTATGACTATTACTCATCTCTTGCTGAAGTAGCCGCCTTCCGGTTTACCACTTAAGTTTATCAACTGAAAATACTGTTTTAATCTGTGCAATTATGATGATGTCACTTCTTCCTACCTGTTCCAGGCCAAAGGCCTGTGACTATTTATGCAGACCTTGTCATGGTGATCTACGCTTCTGTAACCTTGCGATTAGACGGTTGCAACACACCTTATGTATGCTTTAAGTCAGTTTTTAAATTGAACACAGTACGAGAGGAAACAATTGCTTTATGAACCAGAGATTTAAGTTATGAAGTGCTCAAGATTTTGCAAGCATTCTGCAATTTGTTCTATTGCCTGCATTTTCTCTAGAGAGATCAACTGTTCATTTTTTGACTTCTTTTTTTCCCCACTTTGGAACGTAAATGCTGCACTGACCTGGAATTAGAATACCTGGAAGAGACTAATATCCTTCCCTACTGCGAGTATAAAAGCCACAGTATCTCCACTTCCAATAACTAGGGACTGAAAGTGTCCCCACTTTAGGATTCACTTCCCATTTTGTTAAGAAGCAAATGAAAAAGTGTTTCATCTGTTGGAAACTGTTCTTTCCCTGGAAATTTACAGGGAGAGAATGAAACAAGAAGTCAAGATACACTGAAATGAACTTTGCAATGAAATCATACTGATCTGTTTGTAATGTTTTTTGACGATACCCTCAATTGTTTGGCTGATGTTTCCTGTAGTGTCTAGGGTAACTCTAAAAGAAAAATTGACATTAAAGGCTAAGGTCTATAGGAAGCTGTGGTCACAGTGCTATTAGGGTTGCCCTGAGTAACTTTAATCGGTCAGCTCTAGCAATGGAATTCACAAATCCAAACCAAGCCCTTAAGCCCCCTTTGCTCTGAGCTAATGACTGACTGTTCCCCCGTAGGAAAACAAGTGTATCAACTAATTAGAAACTATTTAAAGAAAAAAGTCTCTCTCTAATTCTGTCTCCCTCCCAGGCTTAGGACACTGCCTGCCAGCCTGAATAAAAACGCATGTGATCCCAGCACAATGCTCCAAGAACCCTGTCCCCACTTTGATGCCTGGTATGTAACTTGGACACCAGTGGGTGGCCCCACAGGGAGGACAAGAGCGCTACACCAGCCCGGGAGGTGAGCGCCCGGGCATGCGCAGGGAAACCTGCGTTTGGCTTCATCAGCGCCTTAGTCAAGTCGGGTTCAATGCCCATCGCCCAGGACAGTGCCTTAAACTTGCACTTCTCTCTCTGAGAGCTGAGTCTGTCAAAAATTCCATGCTGTGCCAGTGCTGAAAACACTTCATGAAAAACTGAAGTGAGAAATTGAAGGAAAACTGCGCCTTCAACATCAGCCTACCAAAAAGGGCACGTTTGAGATACCTGTGCAAAAACATGGCTCTGCAGCCTGCTTAAGACTGCACTTGCTTGGTAAGGGAAGCACTTCAGCTTTGAACTCTTCCACATGAACCAATTTATGCATGTGTTATTGGATAAAATGCCTAAATCGGTCAAATCAAAACGCACAAAAAGAATTAAGAAACAGATGTAGTTTAAATGTAAATAAAGACTGGAAGTGTCACTAGTTTCCTTTTATACAGAACATGAAAAATGAAGAAGTGAATGACAGCTACTAAAGATATTTCAAGAAAAAAAAAAAAGGAAAAAGTTATTTATAATTTGTAGGAGGTCTAAAGAAGACTTTTTTTCCAAGTCTCCCCAACAGATATATCTGTAATGCAAACACAAATAAACAGATAACCTCTTTACCTC